CTGTAAATTAAAGAGCGCATGCTAAGACGTTATAAAAAACCCTGGAATACCCTTTATTTATAAATACCCTTTGGAGAAAAATTTTTTCGTTCGAAAAATTCATTCAATTCAAACAGCTTAGGTTCTCCGCCGACCGCCGCGGAGTACCGACTTCCGCTGACGATCGCCGTCGCGTAGCGTGCAGTGATGTCGCAGCGCTCTGTTCAGCAGAAGTACCGCGACGGAGAATCCGCCCGTAGCGAAAGGGTTAATTTAATAATATTAATACAGAAAACGTATTTTCATTGCAGTAATTTCTCCTGGAAATGTCTAATCTCGAGTTGGCGTGAATTTCCCTGTGCTATGCCTATGTAATTTGGCTCCTATGTAATGGCTCCTATGTAATTTATTGCAACATAAAATAGTCTGTTTGGGTGTGAGTCACGTGAGAAAAATCGCGAAGCTGCAAGCTACGTGACCGTCGAATCGTGGCATGTGATCTTCGAATTGTCTTCGAATCGTGGCACGTGGCTTCCGAATTGCCTTCGAATCGTGGCATGTGACCTCCGAATTGTCTTCGAATCGTGACATATGGCCTCCTAATAGCCTTCGAATCGTGGCGAAAAAATTAGAAATAAAAAAGCTAAAAGTCATCGTTTTTATTATACCATTGCTATGTATTCGTATGTATAAGGTACGTGACCAATCGCAACGACCGTCGATGTTCAAGTTCTCCGTCGAATCGAGGCCATGTGGCTTCCGAATTGCCTTCGAATCGAGGCATGTTGCCTCCGAATTGCCTTCAAATCGAGCCATGTGGCCGTCGAACGTAGGCTAGAATAGCATAACTCCACTGACATTTTCTCTTGAACGTACCTTCGTATCTTGTACGACGTTGCCTTTAATATTTGTCTAATGCTTTTTTTATCATAATTACAATTTCTACGTGTAATGAATAATTATGGTCTAAAGCAAGTCCTGTTTGGTCTCATTTTAATTGTAAGAATCTGACCAATATATTAACACGTTGGCTGCCGTGGGGGTCACCGGTGACCGGCAACGCGACAAATGCATAAAACAAGTTTATACAACTAAACTTATCTGCTGTAAATAATATTTCAACATAATATGCATCGCATAATGAAAACTTCATGTTGGCGCTTCGGGCAAGTTACGTAAAATTCGCGCGGCAGCCAACGTGTTAAACGAAATATCGATAAATTATAAAAAATTAGAAATAAAACAGTCAAGGCATCGTTTTTACTCTGTCATTATCGTGAATTTGTATTAATGTACACCGGCATGCTGGTCGCTGCCCCGAGTTTCTATAAAAACGAGTCGCGAGGCTCGAAGAATCACGACTTAGTATTCTCAGATTTACCGGTTTCAATTCCGATCTCCGACCATTTCTGGGAGAAATTGCTGTATGTCGCTGCATATGAAAATTCTTTTAAAAATGGCTCTTGCTGCATTGCGATACGACTTCCGTTTTCTGAAATATTGTTGCGTAAAGACAACATTGTGGTCGCTACAATTTTTAAAATATTTGCACATATAAACTAATTGTTCGCCTTTGTATCATTCCTGCGCCGGTAATAAAATGTAATATCCGTTGAAACTTGAGATTAATTTTAGATGGCGTGCACACTTCTTTCAGACGTAACACGATCGTTAACGAACTCATTGTGATTTGCGAAAGATTGAACGTCATGGTCGGCGAATAAGGAGGGTTGATAAATTACAATAATGGAATACAGTGGTGATACTTACCCTCCTTTCATCCTCTTGGTAAAAATATGTTGCATTCTCGACGATACGATGGTCGGGAAGTTCCTCGAACGGTTGTTCTCTCGCGAACGTTAAAATCTCCCACAGCGTCACTGCGAATGCCCAAACGTCGCTCTTCGTCGTGTGCCTTCCCTGGATTAAAACGAATTCAAACGACTCGTGAAATCCGTAGAAATCGTAAGACAATTTTCGGAGATACATTCAAACGATCATACTTTATTTAACATTTTAAACAGCTAAACATCTTTCAGCAGATATTTATAGATGTGGATCGGATATTTTCCGTTTATAAATTTGTTAAGATGCTAAATTAATTTTACGTTGGTGTTACATACAATACTGAATTTTCACAAAATATTTGTAACAGACTCGTGCTAATTTTTCTTTTTCGATTCCGCATCCGGATAGAATGAAACCCAACACGATAAAATCATAAACAAGCAATTCCCTCTCCAAATATCAGGCGCTAAAATCGTGCGATTTCGTTTCAACGTTGCGCGGCTTCTATTTCCGTTATAACGGATACCATTAAAAACGTATCACACTGAAACCTGTCGCAACTAGGCGAGGCAAAAACAATTTTATTAACACGCCACGCAACCCTTTCATATCGATACGATTTCCATCAGTATCCGTTTCCGATATAATCTATAGTTATAGGACAGAGTGTCATCGAAAAATAATAATATACACGCGCAGAAATATTCGGTGAATTCGGAAACGAGGCAAACCGTCGAACAAAGAATTCGCGCGATATAGAAGTGGCTCGTTATGATGAAACCAGTTTGCAAGAGGACAGCTGGAAATGATTAACCCGAGAAAGATAACCTACGTCGCAGAGGCGCCTGCGAAGACTGTTGATTTTTGTTAATTTTTCATAGAGGTCTAGTGATTTAAGTTTAAAATTACTTAAAATATAAAAAAATATAATATAAATATATTTTAAGTAATTTTAAACTTAAATCACTAGACCTCTATGAAAAATTAACAAAAATCAACAGTCTTCGCAGGCGCCTCTGCGACGTAGGTTATCTTTCTCGGGTTAATCATTTCCAGCTGTCCTCTTGCAAACTGGTTTCATCATAACGAGCCACTTCTATATCGCGCGAATTCTTTGTTCGACGGTTTGCCTCGTTTCCGAATTCACCGAATATTTCTGCGCGTGTATATTATTATTTTTCGATGACACTCTGTCCTATAACTATAGATTATATCGGAAACGGATACTGATGGAAATCGTATCGATATGAAAGGGTTGCGTGGCGTGTTAATAAAATTGTTTTTGCCTCGCCTAGTTGCGACAGGTTTCAGTGTGATACGTTTTTAATGGTATCCGTTATAACGGAAATAGAAGCCGCGCAACGTTGAAACGAAATCGCACGATTTTAGCGCCTGATATTTGGAGAGGGAATTGCTTGTTTATGATTTTATCGTGTTGGGTTTCATTCTATCCGGATGCGGAATCGAAAAAGAAAAATTAGCACGAGTCTGTTACAAATATTTTGTGAAAATTCAGTATTGTATGTAACACCAACGTAAAATTAATTTAGCATCTTAACAAATTTATAAACGGAAAATATCCGATCCACATCTATAAATATCTGCTGAAAGATGTTTAGCTGTTTAAAATGTTAAATAAAGTATGATCGTTTGAATGTATCTCCGAAAATTGTCTTACGATTTCTACGGATTTCACGAGTCGTTTGAATTCGTTTTAATCCAGGGAAGGCACACGACGAAGAGCGACGTTTGGGCATTCGCAGTGACGCTGTGGGAGATTTTAACGTTCGCGAGAGAACAACCGTTCGAGGAACTTCCCGACCATCGTATCGTCGAGAATGCAACATATTTTTACCAAGAGGATGAAAGGAGGGTAAGTATCACCACTGTATTCCATTATTGTAATTTATCAACCCTCCTTATTCGCCGACCATGACGTTCAATCTTTCGCAAATCACAATGAGTTCGTTAACGATCGTGTTACGTCTGAAAGAAGTGTGCACGCCATCTAAAATTAATCTCAAGTTTCAACGGATATTACATTTTATTACCGGCGCAGGAATGATACAAAGGCGAACAATTAGTTTATATGTGCAAATATTTTAAAAATTGTAGCGACCACAATGTTGTCTTTACGCAACAATATTTCAGAAAACGGAAGTCGTATCGCAATGCAGCAAGAGCCATTTTTAAAAGAATTTTCATATGCAGCGACATACAGCAATTTCTCCCAGAAATGGTCGGAGATCGGAATTGAAACCGGTAAATCTGAGAATACTAAGTCGTGATTCTTCGAGCCTCGCGACTCGTTTTTATAGAAACTCGGGGCAGCGACCAGCATGCCGGTGTACATTAATACAAATTCACGATAATGACAGAGTAAAAACGATGCCTTGACTGTTTTATTTCTAATTTTTTATAATTTATCGATATTTCGTTTAACACGTTGGCTGCCGCGCGAATTTTACGTAACTTGCCCGAAGCGCCAACATGAAGTTTTCATTATGCGATGCATATTATGTTGAAATATTATTTACAGCAGATAAGTTTAGTTGTATAAACTTGTTTTATGCATTTGTCGCGTTGCCGGTCACCGGTGACCCCCACGGCAGCCAACGTGTTAATATATTGGTCAGATTCTTACAATTAAAATGAGACCAAACAGGACTTGCTTTAGACCATAATTATTCATTACACGTAGAAATTGTAATTATGATAAAAAAAGCATTAGACAAATATTAAAGGCAACGTCGTACAAGATACGAAGGTACGTTCAAGAGAAAATGTCAGTGGAGTTATGCTATTCTAGCCTACGTTCGACGGCCACATGGCTCGATTTGAAGGCAATTCGGAGGCAACATGCCTCGATTCGAAGGCAATTCGGAAGCCACATGGCCTCGATTCGACGGAGAACTTGAACATCGACGGTCGTTGCGATTGGTCACGTACCTTATACATACGAATACATAGCAATGGTATAATAAAAACGATGACTTTTAGCTTTTTTNGGTAGTAGCGAAAGGGTTAACTATGAGATACTGATTCTCATCGAGTTCCTCTTGTTTTTAAATTCCAGTCGCGTACCGTGGCACGCGTAATCACAGTCGAATTGCACTCTAATCAGTTAATTCTCTATTGTCCACGTTTGCGGTTCACAGATGATCCTACCGCTGCCGAAAAACTGTCCCAAGGACATCTACGACTTGATGCGCGAGTGCTGGCAGAGGAACGACGCGGATCGCCCGAACTTCCGCGAGATCCACCTGTTTCTGCAGCGGAAGAACCTCGGCTACAAGCACAGCGATTCGAACGACACCTGATATAGAGAACTGGAAGGCTGGAACCTGATCCGGCTTTCTATGATCGGCGAGCTGAACGGGAATTGGTGGCACAGCCCTTCGACGACCAAGCTCCACCAAACCAGACCAAGTTAGTACCTAGGATGGCCAATCGTACGAGGCGACGATCGATGAGAATCATCCGAGAGAGCGAAGGTAACGCGACGGCCATCTTGTCGCGACTCGTCGTTTCGCATAATTCGAAATGAGCCGTCGTACCGCACGGTCCTCGACAAACATTCAGGCATCCGTTTTCAATCGGAAGGCACTGCCGATCGGTGCAATTAATTTTCCGCTGATTTATTTTACTATTCGAACCGAGGGATTCGCCGGCGAGAAATACGCGGGGATTACGTACGAGACGTATGTTACCTCGATGGCTCGAAATCGGCGAAGTTTACAGTTTCCCCAACGGGGACACGCGGAGCACAATGTTCATTACGTACGTTTCACCGCGAACACTAGGAACATACTACGAGCGGAATTTGTATTTATAGTCATCGGGGATGACGATTCCGAGCCGCGACACTCGATACGGAACGGGACGTTCCTATCGTGGGCCAACAGTCGACGAGCACGTTCGATAAATCGCACATACGCTGCCCTGATATTGATACTGTCAGCAAACAGGCTCGCGGCACACACCGTAACGACACCCACGCGTCACGTTCGCGACACGCGCGTGGCCCGGACTTCGTGGGTCAAGGTAGACGCAGTTTTCTACACCAACGAGTCATTCCCGCGAAACGAGGGGACACATCCTTCTTTGTCTAGAGCAGGGGTGTCAAACTCGAAAGCTAACTTGGGCCAAATACACAATGCCTAACTTTAGGTGGGCCGCAAAAGAAAATCAATGTTCATAGAAACAAATATTTTTATTTCGACTAGTACATTGTAATAAACGTATATAAAGTTAAGTTATCGTTTACGTCCTCATACTTGACGTCTCTTCTCTGATACTATCTTTCCTATTTCGGGAGAAATTTTATTGGCCGAGACTACCTTCAAAATTGACCCAACGCGAGCGTTATTAATACAGTTTCGGACAGGAGATTTATTTCCATTCGTAACAGAAAATAATTGCTCGCACTGATAAGTACTTCCAAACATGGAAATAATTTCATATGCGAATTTTCGAGTATTTTCACATCTTGCCGGTAAATATTTGTAAAATTCAGGCACACCCGCTTCAGTGAATTTTGCCTTCAAATTTGAGTCCGTATAGTTTATAAATAAAGTATATTATAATTTTGTATGCTGGTTTCGTTTCTAATTCACGTTTCTATTTTATTTTTACTTTGCGTCGGATATATTGACTGGGCCGCAAAAATGTTCATCTCGGGCCGCGAGTTTGACACCCCTGGTCTTAGAGCGTCCGCTTCTTTTCATCGCGCCGCAATGTTTTGTACGACGCACCGGCGCGGCGTGGTGGTCGCTTCAACTTGCATAGGACGGCACTTTTGCATGCTGAGAGCCGAGCAACGGGATACATACTTGGCTATTTTTTCTTTTTTTTTTTAATGGAGCACGAATGACAATTAGATCGTCGGTTTTCGAAGAACCGACCAGGCAATTCGCTGATTTAGGGAGCTCGATTTTTTGACGGTTCTATCTTTGAAACTGCGAGATGCGAAGGGAACATCGTTTAGGTGCTGCGGCAGCTGTATGAATATTTTGATCTCGAGATTGTACCTTCGGCTGTCTTTCGTCTAATTTTTAACGTTCCGATTTTTTTAATGTTAAAAATTGTAACATTTAATGTTCTTTTTTGTTACTTCAATACTTTCTTGACAGCATCGTGGATTCGCAATCTCAAGCTTTTGCATTTTATACACATATTTCCGAGCGATGTGATTATTACTTTTATTAGCTTCGTTAAGTTGTAACATTAAGAGCAGAATTGTTTTATGTAAGAGAGATTTTGTATACAGCGTGATTCTAAATTTGCATCGTACAGTTCGTCGATTCGATCAATTCTTTGCTTCAATCTTTATGTTGCTACAGAAAATAAAACGATCGGTTTTGACTATATTAATTATATTAATGACTATATATATAATATAACATAGTCATAGATAATGACTATATTAATTATTATATAATACTTCTCCGTATCAAAGGATTGACCGTATTGGATATTTTCTTTTCACAAATGATCCCCGCAAAATTTACTCCGCATTGCCCATGTAAATCGATTGTAAATTGTTCAAGTACGGATCTTGTGATTTCCCAAGAAGGCGTAAAGAAACTTTACAAGCAATCCAGAGGTGAGTACTCGTTCATTGGGCGGCAGGGTTGATGGGAAATTACAGGATCCCTTTATCGTAAAAAACCAAACAGGCTTTCTTCCTCGTGGCGAGGCGTCGAAATCCGCCGGTAATTTCCGCGTCGCAAATTTCGAATCGCCCTGTGAATCTCTGCGAATCCGATGAAATGGACGATAACCAAGGATCTATCGATGTCGGCTGGTTCGAGTTTAAAGCGGGTTAGAGCGACGGAATGGACACCGGAAGGCGTTCGTTAGAGCTCCGCGAGACCGAAGCGCGACGGGAGTCGTCTTTTTGTAGCGTTTTAATTAACCGCCGCTGACGAAGGAAAAACGGGAGGAACGTGGCGCGGATTTTGTATCGACCGGGAAGTTGACGGCGCTTCGGAACTTAAGATTGCCGATTAAGTTCGACGGCGTGGGCGGCCACGGTGAAACCCGAGAGCAGGCCAGTGTCCCGTGACGGGGCAGCTTTGTCAGGGAAAAGCGGAGCTGTACTGCAGAAAGAGAGAGAGAGAGAGAGAGAGAGAGAGAGAGAGAGAGAGAGAGAGAGAGAGAAAGGAAGGAAGAGAGAGAGCGCGAGAGAGGAAGAGAAAGAGAGAGAGAGAGCGCGAGAGAGGAAGAGAAATAGAGAGAGAGAGAGAGAGAGCGCGCGGGAGAGGAAGAGAAAGAGAGAGAGAGAGTGCGAGAGAGGAAGAGAAATAGAGAGAGAGAGCGCGAGAGAGGAAGAGAAATAGAGAGAGAGAGAGAGAGAGAGAGAGCGGGAGAGGAAGAGAAAGAGAGAGAGAGCGCGCGAGAGAGGAACAGAAAGAGAGAGAGAGAGAGAGAGAGAGAGAGAGGAAGAGATAGCGCGAGAGAGGAAGAGAAAGAGAGAGAGAGATAGAGAGGCAGAGAAAGAGAGAGAGGTAGCGTAGCCGGGGCCGACAAGAAAAGAGATTCCTGGAGCCGCGCAGGCTTTCGTTTCAGTTCCCATGAAACTACTAATAAGCTTAAGGGTGCGCTTGACCAAGGCGCATAAATGTTTGACAATACCATTAGAGGTTGCAGTATAAAAGAAATTCGTATAAATATTATAAATATATATAGAGCGTGTAAAGAATGTTGACGAGTTAATCGATAGTATAACGAAATGATTAGTGAACGTCGTTTTATGTGGCGGAAGGCTTCGCATTCCTCTCGGCGGCGGTAACGGCGACCGTTCTGCGCTCGTTAAATCGCCTATCGATTCGTAAAACTTGGTCGCCGGTCCCGAGAACCGAAAATCCGACGAAACCACCGGCTCGGATACATTCGCGATTCTGGTTTTAGGGTATTGGTGTAGACAGGAGGGGGGAGGAGTGGGTGGGCCGATGGGCAGGGTAGAAAGAGAAGCTGTCGTGTGACCTGAAGTTAAGTTTATAGGAGAGAACAGACACGGTCCATTTTCCCGATAGATATTCTCTCGTTTGTGTCGCGAATACGTTTCGCTGGCTCGTACACTTTTATTTCAATCGTTCGTCGAATCCTATTTAGAGCTTTCTTTAATGAACAATGGCGTCTCAGGATTTTGGGGTGAGTCTAAAGAGTAGAGAACTGCTTTTCAGACTCGGTGGCTATGTGTTCGATTGATTGCGCGAAGGATCACGCGACGAGAAACACGAAGTCCTTGTGTACGTGTTTACTGTGACAGCTGTTAGTTTGTCAATTTTTATTTTGTATATTGCTCTTGTACATTATTTAATTTCTTTTTATGGCACGGTATTTACTTGACTACAAATCTTAGTTTTGTAAGACATCATTTTTCGATCCATATGTTTTTATTTCTCTATAATATTCTGTTAAATATTTTACAACTATAAATATTATTTTACAACAACGTGTCAGAGGAACGTCGAATTTTGTGTTGCGCAGCGTCTCTTCGCAAACTTTGATTTATTTTCGTATGTATTATGAAACGTTTCAATTCGAACAGAGATAAAAAGTAAAGTTCTTCCTCGATAAAATGATTGATTAATTTGTCACGGTATTCACTGTTGGGTTCCAATTAAAAATTCTGCAAGCATTCCAATCGACGTGGTAACTTTTTCGAGCGCATCTAACCGGAACGCAACGAAGCAATATTTATCGGGTACTGGATCCTGTGTCTTTAGCGTGGAACAATGACGAACTAATACTTGTTAGAACGAGAGTGGGTCGGTTGGATCGCACAGCAAAATCGCTGCGTTGTTCTGGAATTTATAACGTTACTCAACTAACCAAGTCACTCCAACAATCTGTAAAATGTAAATCGCCGTAAAAAAAAAGAAGAAAGAAAAACATAAGTGACGTACGTACGGGCGCGTCCGGAAGTAGTCCTGGCAAGAGGACCATCGATCGGATAACTAATAGTCGTATCGATTCATGTCGCACTATACATATAATAAATCATAAGCCGATGAGAACATTGTAACGTTTCGGGTCGTAGGACGTAGGCATCGAGGTCCTCTTACGGGACTGCGTTCGTCGCTGCAGAAACTTCATCGCGAGATATCATTTTGAATATGAGAATTCTACGATATTGTCTATGACATTGACGTGTTGGTAATTTAATATAATAATATATAAAAGCTAAGGAGATCCATAGCGGTAAGACGTACTGCCACTCTATTAGGAAATCTATATCATATCGAGCGAGATCTCATCTCGGCTCCTTTCTCGTTCAGCTCACGGCGAACGATACAGGGTGTTCCAGAAATATGGGATCGCCGAGAACGCGCACACTCTCGCGAATAAAAAATCGACAGGATCTTGAAACGGTGCAGGATTTTCTGATTTTTATTTCCTACGAGAGTTCGGCGTTTTCGAGCGGTCCCGGTTCTTTTAGACAGCCTGTACAATCGGTTCGTTCGATGGCACGCGCGTGGCGAGCGTTGTGATCGCACGGAAACAATAAGGGAAAACAATAAAGAATGGAGGAGAATAGATGACGGTCGATCGTACAGAACGCGACATGCTGTGTCGCAGAGGATCGATGTACATATCCACTTTGATGAGCTTAACGAAACGTATAGGCGGCGAACATGGCCGATTTAATGGACGCCTTCTGCACGATCGAACGATCGACAGAGGGAAGTGTGCACATAATCCTTCCTACAAATTGAAATTGGGAAACATATCTGTGTTTTCGCGCGTTCAGAATAGAAAAGTATTCGGGATTTTTCATCGGGTTCTCTCGCTACCGACAACATCAAATTTCGGTACGTTCTTTTAATTACAAGAGCTCTCCTGTGCATACAGATTCGCAATATTTTCGACCCTTTGTTTTCGTTTCGATAATTATAAATCGTAATTAAATTCTATAGGATACAATGACGTGAACGAAGGATCGCATATCATCTATTAACATATCTGTCTCTTTTATAACAATGTTATATTACTGTATATGTTATATTATATAATGTTATATTATCCTCATTAATTATAAACATTCGAAACAATTTGATTATTTTGTAAATACTTTGCATCGTAACATATCCGACGTGAACCGTTCCCGATGGTTTCTCTTTGTAGGAAGAATTTCCAACGTTACAGAATGAAAGAGTGAGAGAACGTGTAAAGAGT